ACTTGGCACGGGACAAGGAGCTATGTTTTCATGCCACGACAGAATTTCTGAATTTGGTGCCACGACAACGTTTTCTGAAACTTTCGCCATGGCAACGAAATATTGGCCGTCACGATGCTTCAACAGAAGATTGAAGATGATCATGGAGGATTGTCGACGCCCAGGGCTATACGATATCATGCTTTTATGAATTGCTTGAGATGTTTATCCTTTGTTGTGTGCACCCTTTGATTGCAGAATAGTCAATTATTAGTGTGATCTCTCACAACAAATTTCAAGTTAAAAAGTGCTCTTCCCAGTGTTGCAACCGTCTATAACACATAACGTTTCGGAGTGCATCATGTCCACATGAGTACAAACAGGACATGAGGTGTAAGACGGTCGAGGTCAAACCGAGCAAGCAGATAACACCCGGTTGTATTGAAGTTCTGGTAGAATTGTTTTGAGCTCGGAGCACAAAGCACCGAAAGATGAACAAGAGTCATATGGAGATATGATTGGCAATACTTTGCCTACCGGTGAAAATTCTCGTCATCAGTGATGTCCACATCAATGACTGAGAACTAGATTAGGATCTTGAATCACTCACTATCAATTATGAGAGATATTGATTTGAGTGGGAGCACATTTATGTATTAATTAAGTTTAATCACTAGTGCAAATTAATTATGAACGATATCTATGTGTAGTTTCTAGTTTGCATTATAGTTGTAGAATTGTGGCTCACAATTCCACTTTTGTTGTTGAAATTGATTAGCTGTTATTTATCTGGTTGAATCTTTATAATTGAAAGGATCGTTCTCTAAAAGTGCCAAGAAGGATTTTTGTACTACTAGATACTTACAATACTCTCTTGCTGATGCTATGGATGATGAGACTCACGTCCTTCAATCCAAAAGCTAGAATTGCATTATGGTATGCTTGCTTCCGAGAAACCCGGACTTCAAAATGTTTAGGATAGTTATGTGATATTCTTGGAGCTGAAAATTGTTTTCAGAAACAAACAAATATTAAAAGATATGTGATATCTAAAGAAGTGTTTTGTTTGATAGATCTAGTGAAGTGTTCAACAATGTTTAAGACTAAAATGCGTAAGATCTGGAAGGATGCTAGTCATGAGTTGATGGTGAGAACTTAAAGAGAAAGAACAAAACGAAAGGATATAATGAGACTTACATGCCTAGGGAAGTTCGGGGCTCACACCACTCTTAAGAAGTTAGATGATTCTTCTGTTGAGTGGGAGAAATATTGGAAGTAAAACTATAAGAAGTTTAGAGGCGGAAGTAAAAGAAGACTGGAATTTCTAGCTCATGTATGAATATCATACAAGTTATAAGAAGTAGAGAAAGTCGGTCAAGTAAAGTGTGATTCTTGGTAATTGTGATTAAATTGTTAAACACTAAATTCTTTGGGAATTGTGGTTAAAAGTTGATCACAAGATACCAACTCATTTGCATGTTGTTGTGAATCGATGCAAGAATTACTACGACCTAATGCAACAAATTAATGAGGTTAGATTATGTGTTGAAAATTTTGTAATAGTTATGATATTTTTCATCAATATATTGCTCTGAATTTATTGTCATAATTCATTTTAGAGTTTTGTACACTCTAGTCCATTGCATAGAAATTGCAAGGTTGTTGTTCATGAGAGAACAATAGTTGTTCGATGTAATGAACAAAAGGGCCATACTCCTATTGTGAATAGGATTTAAGTTATGAATATTGATGATAGAATTGAGCATCCATAACATTGACGTGAAATGATGCAAGACTAAAAGAATACCACATATGTGTGGCATTGCATTTAGTCACATTGGAGAAACCCGCATGAAGAAATTCCTTAGTGATGGATTTTGGAGTCATATGATTATGGTTCATCTAACACTTGCAACTTTTGTCCAAATAGTGAAGTAAACTAAAATACAGTTCACATGCTATGAAGAACAAGCAACAAAATAATTGGAAATGTGCATATTGATGTGTGTAGTCCGATAAGTGCTGTTGCAAGCAGTGAATTTATCTATCTTCGAGGATGACTCAAGTAGATATTTATATTTACTAACTGAGACATAAATCGGGATTTTTTGAAATATTTCAAAAGATTTTTTAGAATGAAGTGGAAATTATTGTAACAATATAATTGTGTTTCTACAACTGGATTGCAGAAAAGAACATTTGAGTTACAAATTTAGCGAATGTCTGATGAGCTATGAAAAGAATTTTTAGCTTGCACCTCCTAGAAACACTACTATGAGCATAGTGCTTTGATTAGATGTAATCAAGCTATGTATTACATTGTAAGATTAGAGATGACATTAGTTGTTTCGCCAATATACTTTTTAATGTGATGCTTTAGAGACTATGGCTTTTACACTTGAAAGAGCGCCATCAAATTTGTTGAAATAAGTGATACTTTGTAGGTTATCTCAAATGGTTGGGTGTTCCTCTATCACTACACCAAGCCAAAGTGTTTTGCCACAAAGTGCAAATTTTTTGAAGAAAATGTTTTCTGCAAGAGAGTGAGTGGGAGGACAATGCAATTCGACGAGATTATAGAATCTTCATGATCAGGTCAAAGAAAAGAAACATTAGAAATGGTTCTAAAATTCCTTACTTCGACCGATACAGAAGCCTCTACATAGGATATAGGACTTCAGTCGAACGTGCAACTGGACTATAAAGTTTGGAAAATTCGTATGGACCTTCAGGGTATGTAGACAAAATATTGTTGAAACAAACAATGAACCTACAATACACAGAGAATTGTTGATGGGCACTGACTCCAAAATTGGCTATAAGCCAAAATAATCCGAGATAGCATCCATACATATAATTCAAGTTTATAACTTGATAGACCCTCTGAAAGCCTTAAAGTCTAATGTGTAGTGATGGATCTATAGATTCACAGAGATAAAAATGTTTTATATAATGCTTGACTTGCTGCAAATAGTTTATGACAAGATCAAGGATTTGATTATGACAAGATTGTCTCATCATAATAATACTTAAAGTCAGTTCGGATTAAACTTGCAATTACTAAATATATGAGGTCCAAGGTAATTTTCTTGATCCATAGGATACTAGTAAGTGTGCAAACTTCAAGAGATCCAGTAATGATCTGAAGCAAGCATAGTTGAGTTGGAATCTTTGTTTTGGTGAAATTGATCATATAATATGATTTCATCGATAGAAACAAAGATGCTTGTATTTACAAGAAAGTAAGTGGGAGCATGATAATATTTCTAAACACTATGTGTGCATGGCACAATGTTGACTAGAAATTATATAAATTCCTTGACACAATTTAATATTTTATTGAAAATAGCTTTTTAGTAAAGTACTTAGGAAATTTAGTTCTTGTATTAGACACACTAATCTATGGAGATAGTAGTGTCTAATCGAGCTTAGCCAAAATACATATTGACAAAATACTATAGAAGATTAGTATGAAAAATGCCAAGAAGAGTTTCTTGTCAAAGTCACATGGAAGGAGTTCTTAGCAAGAATCGTTATTTTGGAATACTAATAAGTGAAATACATGATTTCAATCACACTTGTGTTAACTCCATAGTATGTAAATGTTACGTCTCCAACATATCTATAATTTATGAACTATTCATACTATGTTTACAATAGTTCTATATGATTTTGGTGCACTTTTATATGAAGTTTATATGATTTTCATGGACTAACATATTAACATAGTGCCCAGTGCAGTTGTTGTTTTCTGCTTGTTTTTGGTTTTCCAGAAAATCCATACCAAGCGAAGTCCAAACGCGACGAAACTTTTTGATGATTTTTTTTGGAACATAAGAGAACCCCGAAGCTTTGAGGGAGTATCAGAAGAGCCACGAGGAGGTGACATGGTACCTGGGTTGCGACTAGGGGTGGTCATGCCAAGATACCTTATGGCCCCCCCTGTGGCCCCTCTTTGTGTGATTCCAACGCTGAAAATTCTTATATATTCGGAAACCCCCAAAAGTTAACCTAGAACTGAGTAAATTGCACACTTGGTCCCTTTACTTGTTGGCTTTCAACAAAACCATCCCAATACTCGCGAAGTACTTCTACAACGGTCCTTAGACTTACAAATGTGTAACAAAGACGGTCCTGTGTAAGCAACAACATACGTTTGGCCCTTTCCCCCTGCCATGTCAGCGCCTATTGATGGTCCAGCCGAACCGACTGGCTCGAGTCGGGCTCAGATGAGATGAGATGACCCCTGTGTAATCGAGATTTTCAGTTGTCGCCTTTGCTCGTGTGTGTTCTGTTCCCCGAGCACGAAACAGCTAGCAGCAGACAAGGGTTTGATCGGGGGCAGAGATCGCGGCCATGGGGAACAACCGAAGTGGGAGGGTCTCAGAGGGATGTGGGGACACTGTCGTCTTCCGCTGTGAGTGCCGCTGATGGTGCCCATACAACGCCATGATAAGGGGCCCGTCCCAATGTATAGTATGTTGATCACCAGAATAATCCAAGTAGATTGTTGTTTTATATGCTCAACTTCCACCATTTGCATACCTATTCCCCATTCCACTTTGAAATTTATAATTTTTATGCACTAATTTTGTTAGGGTTCAGACTTGTACCTGTTGCTCGTAGAGATAGATTTCTTTTTCTTTTTGAACTCAGCTGATCCTTTTGAATTGATCACCCCCTATTTATCAGTTTCATTCTTGAATAAAATTGGGTTTTGTCGCTCCTTTAGTCAAAAACATAATTTGGTTAGGATTTACACACATTTGTTTCATCTTCCCATCTAAAAATTCTTTTGTGTAATTATAACATAGGAAGGAAGTGATCTATTTACTATGGAGTTCATATTTGGAGGATTTTTCCTTGGCAGTGGAAGCAGCAGGGCATATCTGAATGGCCGCAAGGTGTGCTATGATATTTGTGATGCTATTCAAGCTTCTATGCTAATGGTGTATGAATTAGTAGAGCACTTGAGGTATGAGACAACTGGAAGAATATCTATTTACTTGTTGCTGCCAGGTATGCAATTGAATGAAGGTTGGCTAAAGTTGTTGCCGAGGAACAATGACACAAACATTATTAGGAAAGTGGTCACAGAGCGGTACAAACATCTCATGTTTTACCTGGATCATGAGGACAACTATGGTGGAGGAGGATGGGGTGATGCAGTTTCAAACCCTCTTAATCGTGCGAGAGAGGAAAATATTGTTGAGCATGGCTTTGTTGTCGTAGAGGAGAATAGAAGTGAGATGATGTATACATGTGATAGCACTTGTGAAGGAACAAGAAGTGGCAGTAGAAGAAGCACAGGATCAGCAATTGTAGAGGAGGAAGATGATGAAGGCTCTTGCTCAGATAGTAATGACTCTGATTATAATCTGGAAGAGCTTGTGGACAGTGACTATGACCTGCGGGATGGGGATGTGGATTTGGTGATGGATGAGCCACATGTTGCTGATGATGAGAAGAAGGGTAAAAGGAAAGGGAAGCAAATAGCTGAAGATGACAATTCTGAAGATGAAAAGCTTGAAATGCCAGAGTCAGATGATGAGGAAATGAAATTCATGTTCAAACATTTCACAGAAGAATATTTGCATGAGCCCAAGTTTCATGTTGGGCATGTTTTCTCGTCAATAGAATTGATTAGGAAGGCAATTAGGGAGTACAGTTGCAAGGAGAGACTTGGCATAACATTTCCAAAAAATGATAAAACAAGGATTGGAGCAAGGTGTACCAATGGCTTTCCACGGTATTTGTATGCATCATACACTACAAAAAATACACTTCCGTGATGATATGTGTTTGTCATAGTAGGTTATGTTTTTTTTCATGCATGTACATCCATGACGATTTTATGACAGAATCAAGATAGTCATCCATGTGTTGTCGTAGAGTGTTCCATGACAATACCAAAATTATCATCACGGAAGTGTCCACTTCCATGACGATAAATCGCGCGTCATAGAAGTGCTTTCGTCAAGGGTGACTGACATGTGTCATCCACCGTAACAGGTTGCCGTTAAGCTATCGGGTCCGGTTTTGGATCCGATAACCCGCTAACAGCTACGACTAATGGCGATTTTCCACGTGTAAAATTCTCATTGGCCGATGGAACCACGTGTCAGCTCGGCGTTGGCGCAGCTATCACTCATCCGATGGGTGAGATGCACCTATGATATGTTGACACGTGGACCAGCCCAAAAGTGGCCCATAAAAATTAAATGGGCAAGCCCAACTAAAAGCCCACAAAATTTTGCATACCATAATGGGCCGGCCCAGCTAAAGGCCCACAAAATTTTGCAGACCATTATGGGCCGGCCTAGCTAAAGGCCCACAAGACTTTGCAGACCATAATGGGCCAGCCCAGCTAAAGGCCCACCAGATTTTGCAGACTAGAAATGGGTCGGCCCAGCTAAAGGCCCACAAGATTTCAAAGACACTAGTGGGTCGGCCCGTTAATAGGCTGGCATGATTTTTTCCAAATGCCGGCCCATATTTGATCCGGTCCATTGACAGCCTGTCACATTTTGGGCCTAATAAGGGCCCATATGAGATCTAGCCCGTTAATAGTTTACCATGTTCTGGGCCATAATATGGCACATATAAGATCCACCCCTTTAAGAGCCTTTGGGATAAATTATGGCCCATATCAGGTCTCGTCAACTGGACCCTGTGCTTTTGGGCCCACTTGAGGCCCGGTTAGGATTTCTGTTTGCTAAAGGCCCATTTAGCAATATGGCTTGATATTAGTTTCGGCCTGTTAAAGGCCCGTTTAACATTTCAGCCATATATTTATTTTGGCATGTTAAAAGCCCGTCATATAGTTGGGCCTAACAATGGCCCGCTTTGCATCCGGCCTGCTCACAGCCGATAATATGATTGGGCCAAACAAGGACCGAGACAATTTTGGCCTGTTAAAGGCCCGTGATGTGATTGGCACAATCATGGGCCGGGGTCTATTTCGGCCTACTGTCGGCCTGTGAGCTGTTCGACACGTTTCAGGCCCAACCTACTTTTGAGCCTCCTAAAAGCTCATTGAATTTTCTTGCGAAAATAGGGCCGGCGGTTTACTCGGCCTATTAAAGGCCCAAAACTACTAGTGGGATAATTTACATTTAGGCCTGTTAACGGACCAAGATGACTGGGCCCATGATGCAGCCCATACATAGTGATGACAGCCCGATTATGTACCATAATTCTACGGTTTGGCCGGTTTACTTTTCATGGAGCGAAGACAGGATATATATATATATATATATAGTAAAATAACTGCAGCATCAAGAATAAGAAAAAACCTAGACTATACAATAATGAAATTACGGCATATTACATCCACTGGGCATCAAAGTTCACCACTATGATAATAGAGCACAAGCGGACAAGAGATTACATACACTGGGCATCAAAGATCGCCACCAGTGTAAATAAACACGCCGACAAAATAATATACAAAACCGACAACACTTCAATAGAGTTCGAGAAAGGTTAGCCCTGCTCGGGAGCTGCAACGCAAGCAGCTGAGCAAGCTGATGAGACTACGCTTGTTTGATGCTGATGTCTACTACACAACCTTCTTCTTGTAGATGTTGTTGGGCCTGCAAGTGCACAGGTTTGTAGGACAGTAGCAAATTTCCCTCAAGTGGATGACCTAAGGTTTATCAATCCGTAGGAGGCGTAGGATGAAGATGGTCTCTCACAAACAACCCTGCAATCAAATAACAAAGAGTCTCTTGTGTCCCCAACACACCCAATACAATGGTAATTTGTATAGGTGCACTAGTTCGGCGAAGAGATGGTGATACAAGTGCAATATGGATGGTAGATAAAGGTATTTGTAATCTGAAATTATAAAAACAACAAGGTAGCAAGCGATAAAAGTGAGCGTAAACGGTATTGCAATGATAGGAAACAAGGCCTAGGGTTCATACTTTCACTAGTGCAAGTTCTCTCAACAATAATAACATAGATAGATCATATAACAATCCCTCAACATGCAACAAAGAGTCACTCCAAAGACACTAATAGCGGAGAACAAACGAAGAGATTATGGTAGGGTACGAAACCACCTCAAAGTTATTCTTTCTGTTATATCTATTCAAGAGTTCGCAGTAAAATAACATGAAGCTATTCTTTCCGCTCAATCTATCATAGAGTTCATACTAGAATAACACCTTAAGACACAAATCAACCAAAACCCTAATGTCACCTAGATACTCCATTGTCACCTCAAGTATCCGTGGGCATGATTATACGATATGCATCACACAATCTCAGATTCATCTATTCAACCAACACAAAGTACTTCAAAGAGTGCCCCAAAATTTCTACCGGAGAGTCAAGAATGTGTGCCAACCCCTATGCATAGGTTCATGGGCGGAACCCGCAAGTTGGTCACCAAAACATACATCAAGTGGCACATGATATCCCATTGTCACCACAGATAAGCACGGCAAGACATACATCAAGTGTTCTCATAAAAGACTCAATCCAATAAGATAACTTCAAAGGGTAAAACTCAATTCATAACAAGAGAGTAGAGGGGGAGAAACATCATAAGATCCAACTACAATAGCAAAGCTCGGGATACATCAAGATCATGCCATAGAGGGAACACGAGAGAGAGAGATCAAGCACATAGCTACTGGTACATACCCTCAGCCTCGAGGCTGAACTACTCCCTCCTCGTCATGGATAGCACCGGGATGATGAAGATGGCCACCGGTGATGGGTTCCCCCTCCGGCACGGTGCCGGAATAGGCCCCCGAGAGGTTTTTGGTGGCTACAAAGGCTTGCGGCAGCGGAACTCCCGATCTATCTTGATATTCGATGTTTTTAGGGTACGCAGGCTTATATAGGTGAAAGAAGTCGGTCGGGAGGTGCTCGAGGGGCCCACGAGACAGGGGGCACGCCCAGTAGGGGGGGCGCGCCCTCCTATCTCGTGGCCTCCTCGAGGCTCTTCTGACGTGAACTCCAAGTCTCCTGGGTGATATTCTTCCCAAAAATAACATTGTCGAAGGTTTCATTCCGTTTGATATTCCTTTTCTTCGAAATACTGAAATAGGCAATATAACAACAATATGGACTGGGCCTCCGGTTAATAGGTTAGTCCCAAAAGTAACATAAAAGTGTATAATAAAGCCCATAATCCTTCAAAACAGATAATATAATAGCATGGAACAATCAAAAATTATAGATACGTTGGAGACGTATCATATGCTTATATCCTCCTCACTCTGAAAGAGAAACAAGCAGACAGATGACAAGTTTTGCACATATAAGTATCAGTACTGACAATTCATCACATTTCTTATTGATGAATAAAGTGACACAGTTTAAAATAGCATTAACACAATATGGTATTGTTCAGGTTAAGCCATGGCAGGAAATGACATTGTGAAGGAGTTGGCAGCTTCACGACACCACTGGATTACAGATCAAGAACTCATAAGTATCAATGGTTAGTGTGCTATCAATTTATCCCATTTCAGATTGGCAAATAAAGAGACGGTTTAAATAATAGTAGAATGATATGACATTGTTCATAGTTAAGACATTGCAGAATACGACATTGTGCTGTAGTGGGTAGGTTCACCACACCACTGGATTACAGATCAAGAAAAAAAGCATACATGCAGTGCAAAAGAAGATGACTTGCGCTGTATAGTTAAACTTACATGGTATGAAGAAGGAATTTGGTTGTACAACAGAAAACTTAAATTGAGAAGGACAAACTTTTGTTTATGAACTACGTAATAAACTTTAAACATGCAATTTGATGCAAACACCAAAAATAAACAGATGTTGCAGCCATGGCTAACCAAATATACACAACAAATTTTGAAGGCTTGAGAAGGACAAACTTACATTAGCGGTGAAGACCGACTCGATAAAGCCCTTGTCCATGTTGATTGGGGGGGGGGCAATTCAAGAAGTTTACCATAGAATCTTCTTCATAAGCATTGCCTTTGTTCTACATTTTGTTAAGAGTAAACATAGATGTGATAATATAAGAAAAAATGGAGAATATTTAAGATAAGATGAAGAGTGATGCTACATAACCAAGTAGCTATAAATGTAAGTACAACGATAGAGGGAAAATGTATAGCCAAGTGCAATGCAGAGCTAAACTTTTTCAGCACCATCGGTGTTATCCAACCTTATGGTAAGAGTAAATATATATCTGATGTGTAGAAAATGAAGGGCAAAGGAAAATAAGTTGCAGAGTGATGGTACATGAACAACTAGCTGTCAATATAAGTACACTGATAAAGGACAACAGGTACTTACAAGAACAATGTAGAGCTAAACTATTTCATTGGCATTGGATATATTCTACTAATGTAACCATTAATAAAGATCAGATAATTTGGAGCGAACAATTGATAAGCAAGCTATCATACATACTGCTGTCACATAATGAACCAGGTATGAATGCAAGTACGATACAGGACAACAAGTACTAACAAGAGCAAAGCAACGGGAAGCATATTTGCGGTATCCTGTTGTCCTTTTCAAACCTGAATTCTTCTTCGAGTAGATTTCCTGCAAAAGAGATCCATAAGGCACATGCGGAAAAGTAGAAGTTCAAATTGTCATGTGATATCATAGACAATACCTCATACTGGGAACGAGACCAGTGCATAACAAGGTCTTTCCATTCAATGTCTTCTAAATTTAGCACAGGAGGCTTCACCGGAAATTCATTTATAGACTTGTCATCAAAGTGTGATTTCCTCAGGTAACATCGATACTGCTGCAATGCTTTCTTGAAAAATGCAAGCAAGCTTTGCTT